CATTAACGCCGTAATTAAAGGGGGGACAGGTGTCACCCGAAAAGAAGAACACATAGCTCGCTCTCTCACTTTTATTCACTTTTCTTCAATCTCTGTGGGATATTATTATACCCACACCAAAAAGTTCGCGTGCCTTTCCGTCATCAATCCTCGGCTCTTAAATTTCTTTCCCTCGCTGTTGATGCCAAAACACGCATTTTTTTTACTCTCAGCGATTCTCGCATGCATAGAGTGCGGTGCAGACATCCAAAACCTGCACTTATGTCGTCATAATTTTTCAATTATATCTCCGCACTTGGCACGCCACTTCCTGTCTGCCGTTGATTATAGAAAAATTTCACTTTGCCCGATAATCGTGCGCGTTAACAACATAATATGAGAATTTATGTGTCTCTCTGTGCGTATCATCGTTTACGGCACTCTTGGCTTGTTTTAATCATTTTAATAAAAAGAAATACAATTTTTATATATTTAAATGATTTTAACATTATCATTTTTCTTTATTTTTATCACAATTTACATTTTTTAAATTGTTAATTTAATATTTTCTTTTATCTGATATATTAATATCCACAGTCGCATTGATCATTTAAAACAAAAAACAAAAAATGTAGATTTTACCAGGTATTTATATATTATAATCACTGTCAAAACCTTAGATAAAGATTAATTCATGCAATGAAATTCCTTTCCTACTCAGTTAAAATTTTCATTATTAATATTACATTAAACGACCAACGACCCCATGAAAACTACACTATTAAAAAAAAATCTGATTCCTAGCACAGGAGTTTGCTAGATATAAAATTTGAGGGTAAAAATTTCAATAGTTTTCTCTACAAGAAGCAACAAATTCTAAAGCTATTTATAGAAAAAATAATTTTCCGCTACAAAGAAATATCTTGAAAATATGTGATTGAATCTGAGAGTGCAGATTTTATTACTGTTTCGAAAAGCCATTGAAATCGCTTGTGAAGTTTCAAACTCAAATTGGAAAAAACCTTTTCAATTCATATTCACTGGACATTCCGTACATGATGTTGAGCGTGGAAAATTTATGCTCCATCCCGTCCGCTTGAATTAATTGAATTCGCAAGATCTTATTTTCCCGATCAACTCTGCTCTCGAGATCACACACAATAATAAATAAATTTGTAATTTTTAAAGTCTTGTGCTGGACGGTCGCAGCGCTTATATATCTCATAATATTATCAGCAGGCTCTCGAGCCAGTATGGTACCTACTTTTCTCATTAAACCGGTCTGGTTTGTGTTATTATACGGACTGAGTGCATGTTTGGAATGTCCATTGCATGAGAGCCAGAAAGCAGCCCGTCCAATGCTGCTGCGGCGCTGATGTCTAAATAAAGACGTTAATTTCTTTATTTATACATGGCGCGAAGGTATTTATTTCATTGGCTCGTGTTTATTAATATAATGAAGTAATCAAAAGAGCTGTCACCAAGCACGTATATACGACCTTAAATATATAAATGAAGGAGAGAAAAAAAACGGAGTAACACCGACTCCTACTTTATGGAACTAAACGGAGCGCCAAGCCGCCGGACGAGAAATTTGCATTAAAGGCAGCCGGGGATTGACAATAAACTTAACGCGGTGAACATCATCGTAAAGTTAAATCTGGCCGATAAAGCAGAGTATCACCATAAAGTGCTGCACGGCGAAAAATAACAAGCAGGAAATTTTCTCGGATAGCCCGAAAGTTGTGTGTGTGATTTAAAAGCACCTCTGATTATACATACGCGGCGTGTAAATCGGCTGAGAAAAACGCGAGAAATATACACATTGAAATGTTGTTAAAAGACACTCTCGGGTTTTCTTAACTCGCGCGCGCAGGCAGACTGGCAAGAAAGGATGCGGAAAACCAGTTACATGCCCATACATATTCGAGAGCGTGTCTCACACAACATTGGCGTGATCCATATTTGGTACCTCATCAGTCGGGGCCGCATTTTTATGCGTTTTGCTCGAAATTAAAACTCTTGCCGAGAGAGAGACACAGAAGTTTCTTTATTCCCGCGCTGGTCCTCCTCGTCTATAATTGACTCATTTAATTTTCTCGTCAAATATAAAAGCCGCCGCCACTCTTCCCTACAAGGACACACAATTTTTCGCCAAGTTCCCTGTGAATTGTCAAATAAAATTTATAAAAATTATATTTATAAAAAAAATAACCCTTGGCTTAATCCTTCTGCCTTGACGGACTCGAAAAAAAAATGCGGAAAATAATTTCGGAGAGGCTCCGTCGATATCGGCGAGCTGCTCTCTTTTTGTTTTTCCGGCGGCACTTGAAATTTTCCAGAGTAAGCGTTTTCGTCGTGCCGCTGGTCAATTCTGGTATCCCGTCTTCTCCTTCATTTTTCGGAGAGCGCCGACGACCGTCGATGGTGCTCCATCCAGCTCTCGGCCCGCAGTACACACCAATAAAACACTACTAACTCTCTCGCTCATATATTGATGGTTTGACCGTCTTCCGCCCGTAATATATAAAACCTCAAGTGTCTGCGAGATGTCCATTTCACATGATGAAATTCTTTTTTATGTGTCCCTCTCTATATGTATGTGCGGCGGCGACGCCGACCGAGAGCGCTTTTTATGATGTCCAATATGGATGACTTGTCAGGTCAAGTCGTAAAAATATTTTCCACTTTTTTGGTATTTCCATCTCCCATTCCACTCCATTTCGATGCCATATAATATGGTCAAGAAGAATGCCAGCCCATAAAATGTGCGCAGTGCCAACGATGATATGAAAATTTCGACGACATTCTAATTTGCACCGCAGCAATTCTTTTTTCCCTCGGAAAAAAACGTGGAATTTGCGGTTCAATAGGTTAAGTGATTTTTTGCGCGTATTTATTTTCACGGCTGGAAAATCGTGTTATTGCATCAAAAACGCCAGGAAATTAAGAAATCCCCCATTCAGCGGTGCCATCCGCGCTCGCACACACGCATAAAAGAATTTCTTTCCGCTCCCCTTTTTTATGTGTATATTTTTTGTCGCCATTCACGCGAATGCCGCGTTTTTTGCCCCGTATCCATGTCACCCCTGCGTCGCGATCCGGCAAAAAAGCAACCCCTTGGTGTCACCGAGATACCTGCAATTTTCCCATACACACGCGTTTTTCGTTCGGAATACCGGAGATTTATTAACAATGGCATTAGCACGGTGGGTGAGTCTGAATGGCGACAGGGAGCAAAAGTGAGTCAGTGTTTGTGGGCCGAGTATTAACTCATGACCCTATTCAATCCGCTATGCATCTGCAGATGGAATTTTTATCCACTTTTTATATAATATTTCTGGCGAGTTTTAACCGAATTTCACGCTCTCGCACCGTGCAAGAGAAAAATACAAGAGACTTTCGCCGTCGGCGCGCGAGCAGATTTGGATATCAGATAAATTTTTTTTATAACTCGGCGATCCCTATCTAATATCACGTATATTATATAAAATTCTTTTTGGTGTTGTAAAATGATTCTCGCCATCAAAACAATCACCTTTCCGTAATGGATTCGCATAAATAAAATTTAATAACCTTTTTTTTCGCCCCGGTGAATAGAAAAGAACGAGTTTCGCAGCCAGATTCTCTCGGATTGATATAGTAAAAATCCATTACCTCCTGATTATTTATTTGAGCACGATTGGTTTCCTAATTGAAAACAACTTTAATTAAATCCGACACACACGAGCAGAATTAAATTAATGAACGCGATTAACGACGCCGAGTGACATTCGTACAAAGCAAATCGATGAAATTATAAAAGTCAATCAGTCGAACGCACCTGTGTGATTTGAAAATTTTCCAAGCAGATGTTTTTCGAAATTGAATTATCGCCGATTACGTGAGTTGTGACACATAATACCGTGTAATGTAATTTTTTTTCCTCTTCTTTCGACTGAATGTTTATTTTCGTGCCGAGGTCTTTAACATTTGCAAGCAGGCCCGCATATTGTTTTGCATAATTTTCCATGCGATGAGCATAAATTTCCTGCCACATGCACTTTGGATTATATTCTGACTTGCATTTTAACAAACTTTCAAATTCCCATCGCGACCGGCGTTTTTCGGCGGCGCCCGCGATAATAATGAGGGCGGTGAGAAAAAGCAACCGGGTGTTTTGCGTAATGTTGATTGAATTTTAAGAGCGCGCCGCATTTACATGTAGTTAAGGCCGAGGCGTCCGCGCGCCTGACCGACCGACATTTCAAATCGGAATGAATAATGCGCGCGCTGAATTCAATTAATCTAAATTCAAAACTCTTTTTCGCATAAACGCGCAAAGGTTATGTGAAAATGAGACGACACAATATTCCTCACAAATCCAAATGAATTCAAATTGTATTCGAACGGCGATCGACCTCGCTCTCTGCGCAATGTTGCTTGGTATTTTTTTTTTTACTCCGTCATTAAATTCGACGGTGCCGACAATAAATAAATTCAAAAAAGAGAAAATAACACGCCGGGGCCTTTTTATTATTTTATTTTAATTAGGGAAATTAGCGTGCAGCAAAATATATGTTACTTGTCAAACAGGATCGTAAAATTTTGGCACCAAATTTGCCCACGCTTGAATCTTCTCCGCATATATACATAAAATAAAATAAAATGTAAAAAATTAATTACACAGCACGTACATGGCGCGGGGATAGAAATTAAACAATGACCGCAGCTTTCTCTTTATACTGCCCGAAGTGGGATTTGCATAATTTTATATATCAAATATAGGTTATGCAAGCACGCCGGACAACAATTAAACCGATCAAAATGCGCGTGTGATTAATTGATAATTTGGCATTTGCGGAGTGAATAAAGAATCCGAGAGTGACATAACGAGGCCGGTGCGGGCACAATGAGCGTCGCTATTGCTTGCGCAACCCTCGCTCATTGTTATAATCTCCGCCAATTAGCATAATCACGCACAACAGGGAAATGTCAATTTGAAAATGTTATAATTTTTGTCTCTTTTTTTTGTTTCGCAGGCAAAATACTCGAGTCGATGAACGCCACCTCGCGGCTGTCGGCCCTCGGCTTCGGCCGCCCCGCCGGCCTCTCGCTCAGCATCCCCTCGCCACACCTGCCGCACCCCAACGCCCCCGCCCCCGTCGCCCCCAACCTGCCTGCCCCCAGACTCAGTCCCCCGGTGCAGCCGCCGACGCCCCCGAGGACGCCCCATTCGCCCAAGGCGGCCAGGACGTCGTCCCCTGACAGGGGGCCAAAGGACAACAACACAACTCCTGCTTCAACTGGCAGGGTAAGCTAAAATTTTTTAAATAACACTTTAAATTACACTAAGTGGACTTATTTTACAATAATTGTATCTTTATTTAAAATAATTTAACTTTTTTTAAATCACTTATTTATATTTTTAAGTGGAATTTTATTAATTTTGCAACTTATTGTTTATTTTAATTTAATAAAATTAAAGAGTTACATTATATATAATTATTAAGATGATACTCTACAACTTAGCCGTCAAAAATGAACACAATTAATTACTTGTTGCCACTAAAACAGTTTTATAAAGTTAACATAATATACATTTATTCATCATTTAATTATTCCAAAATTACTTGCATTGATTTCAAAATTTAAAAAAAAAATCATCTCTTCTTGGCTCACTCCCTTCCATTTTTTTCAGTTATCTCCTTATCTGAATTTGTCAAAAAATCTCATTAAAACAAACGAATTAAATTCCTCCCCACACAGCCAATTAAATTTGCCAAATTTTGCCTCGGCGTAATGCAAAATTGCATGTGATGTAATAAGTATGTACATCCATCTGCGACTTAATTTGAGCCTTTCGCTAATTCCACGCGTTAATTTAGACATATTTCTTCCGAAAAACCAAGCCGGTGCCTTTGCATTAATGAAGATTTAAATCCGAGACGGCATTTTCTTGCGTGCTTAATAATTCCTTCGTATATATGGCCATTTTCCAGCACCCAGGGCATAAAGCCACGTTCGGCCGTTTAAATTTTTGCGCTTAAATTGTATTATTTTATTCTGGCCGAAAATGCCTCGAGTTCCACGCGTCGACTGCCGGGAGAGAAAAAATAAAACAGCTTGAATTGCTCAATATTCAAATATTTGAATGAGTCATTGCAAAAAAGACTCGTCATTATAATTTCCTAGCGGGACGACATTCAAGTGTATAAAACAATTTTAATGAATATTATTTTTCAACTCTGAAAGGAAACAATGCTTTTGAAATAAATTTGCATAAAAATAAAACAATAAAAGCTATGCTAATTCCACTTTTTGCGGCAAGTCAGATCTCAGTGCTTTGATTTCGTATTTTGCAATTTGCATTTGGCGCGAAAATTAGAGTCAGAAATTAAAAAATTGCATGTATCCTATTTTTATTGTCTTCTGCCGCTCGTTTTTTTTTTTGTATGATGTTGTATCATTACACCTATTCCGCGTTTACGTACGAGAGAGAATCGCGTCCGTGGGATAATATTTTTATTTGGGGCCATTGTGTGGTAATGATTCTTGTTATTACCGCCGCTGCCTATGTACGCCCCTTATACTTAGCAGCCGGCAAAAAAATTAATGCTTTTACTACTTTTTTTGGAAATGCACATTATAATAAAACTCCTCCTCGTCTGGCGTCATGCAAACTCGTAATTTGCAAAGTTTAATTATAATTTATGGACGGGGGTAATGATCGGAGCGATTGGGAGCGCGAGTTAAAACATATAATGTGTGTCGGCCGCAGATTTTTTTTTCTCCTTCGTCTTCTTTCAATTGAATTTTGGTCCGTCTGGATTAACGTTGCGTGAGACAAATCAGACGGCAGCTCAGCGACGTATTACAGCCGCAGCAGCAGGCACAATGACCCATCACGGCCGTTTTCATTAAAGCCGCGTGGAATTTTATTGTTATTGATTTATTTATTGTTCTCGCTGTTTTCATTGTTTCGCTGTCAATTTCACATAAGGAACGCTTGAATTGCAGGTCCCACTGCCGCACAATGTGGCCACCATTCTCACCCTGGCCGCCCTTCAGGAGCAGAAGGACCGTCTCATCGGCGAACACACCCCCACGGGAACACCTTCCCTTCCGACCACTTCCGGTGAGTTAATTTTCTCAATTTTTTTGCATTTATTTTAAAAGTCGTGAAAAAGCAAATTTTTAAGATATAAACACAATTATTAAAAAAAAATTTAAAATTGCTTTTAGCCTAAATATTATTGGTTAATATAACTGGCAAATTTAATTTTCTCTGAAAGAATAAAATAAATTATTTAATTACTTCCTTTAAAATTAGAAAAATTATTTAAAATTCCATTGTTTGGCCAGTTGCTTGATTGTAAGCACAATTTTGTGTCAAAATAAATGAAACCGCTAAGCTATTTTGTAATTTTTTTAAATTTTATTATAAAGAAGGATATTTCACTAAGAAATATTGGTAAAACATTCCATTTTACTATCTAGGCGGGTGTGTTTGATAGAAGTAATATAATTTTTTATTAAAATTAAAAGCAGGACATCGGAAATAAAAAAACAGTCCAGGGATTATCGGCTAGTTTGATGTTTGGTGAGAAAAGAGGACCACTTAATTTAATCTCGCTGGGAAGCCACATAAAAGAGCAAGTCCATTAATTTATTAAATTGAAGCCTGTGCGCACCAAGTGGTTGGTATTACTATTTAATTTTTTTTAGGATTTTCAGTTTCCACTTGCGTGGGAACTTGTCTGGTGTGGCATTCGCGTTCAAGGGCCCCGGCAACTATAACTGCTCTCTCGACAATATACTTTGTACTATTTGAGGGACATGTCAATCTAAACTTTTATTGGCACTAAATTTTTAACTGCTGCCCGAGACATCATCGGGCAGCACTCGAGACGAAAGTCTGCTGGTGATGTAATAATAACAAGTAGTGCGCTCTTCTTCTATATATTTGGTGGTGCCGGACAAAAAATTGTGTGTGTGCGTTTTTTGCGCGGTGTATCAAATAATCGCGCGCTCTGCACATGTCGCGCTCGCTTTTCGAATTTATTGAATAATTGCCGTTTAAATAACAAAAGCGCACTCGCCGAGAACAGCCGCCGCTGCTGGCCATTGTGATGCATCATTCATAAGAAGCTGGGGGATTTTTTATTTGCTACATCCGCAATCAGATGCTGTGTGCTCCGTTCTGTTGCCGCTTTATGGGGAAATCTCTTTTCATTCATTCATAGTCAATTGGCTGGATGAGCGCAAAGGCAGCCAAGAGCACTTTATCTAGCCGGCGCGGTGCTTTCACAGGCAAAACGGCCGGCCCGTTGATGGATGAACGCATTCTGAAGCATCCGTAGCTTGTGTCATGTGTTCAAAATACAAGGAAAATATTACTTTATAAGTTGCAATGACCAACACGTTAAAAATGTTAAAATATATAAATATTTTAAATTTAATTGTTAATAATGCTATTTTTTAATTAAATTTTAGATTAATGGGATTTTTATATATTATCTAAAATTATTTTTTACATTTTTTTTTATATTTTTTATTTAAAAAATTGGTTACATGAGTCTCTTATTATGTAATTACAATTTAAAAAAATTGTTTGTTAGCAAACAAAGAACATCATAGCTTAAAATTCAACATTTTGAATTTTTTTCAAGATAGTTGCAAAAATAAGTTAAACATTTTCTCGATAACTTACATTAAAATAAGAAATCAATAAGATTTAAAATGTGCAAAATTAAAACAAATTCTGAGACAAATACAATTATGTAGTTCATTCTTCTTCGCACAGTTGTAAATAAATGTCGTCAAGTTCGTTTTTCACCGTGCAGGAGAGAGAGCAATCAATCATTTATGAGATGTAAAAAAATTTCGGCCAAGTGAGCGCTCGCGAGCAAAGTTCTGGTCGGCCCCATTTCAATAGAAAGTCAGTGACCGGCCGAGAGCGCCGCGCATCTCACATGTCCGAAAAGAAACAATTCATCTCGTTCAGTCCACACCTTGGTCCTTATTAGTTCTGCATTTTTTACCCTTGACAACCAAAACTCCTTCCATCAATTGTCCCTCGGCGTCAAAAAGAGAAATAATGAGCGCAGACAAACAAAACAAAGTGTATATAAAATTTTCGGCCGGTTTTTCCTCTAATTTTAGTTCTTGGCCGCGCATCGGAGGAATGTGACATTTGCAGTCGGCGGAATTACACGCGTCGCTTGGATAATAAAAGAATAGAGCGCGCGCGGCTATAGAGCAAATGGGCGAACAAAGCGTGTGCCAACGCTTTTTGCTCTCTTGTTTTGCAGTCATCATCAGTCATTTATTCATTTTCGCCAATTACCCGGCAAACTGTGCAAAATCAATCATACTCGCATCATTCCATTATCGCACAATTCGCAGGAGCGGCGGCGGCGGCGGCAGCGACAGACTAACAGACAGACCAACCGGCAATTGTTTTGTGTCCGCCGCGCGCGTTATTATTGCCAACCGTCGACATGCACGCGAATATTCGTCCTGTGTGTGTATTGATTGTCTTTGTACACATCATAAAACACACAATATATATCGACTGCGCTGGCTATTATATCCGCGCGACGCACTCCGTCCCCTGCCCGCCGAGTTGACGAATTTCCATCATAAATGCCCGCGTTTCATATCCGCTGTTGCACTGTGATGGAATTTTTCCATTACCACTTTTCCAATATTGTTTGTTTCCCTGCCGCCGTAATAACGCGAAAAAGCCGCGGCCGCGTCATGACACAGGCGAAACGCGCGCGTGATGAATATTTTCGACAATTATTTGTCAATATCATCATCAGAGCGGCGCACAGCACAGAGCGATCGACGTCACATAAATTCTGTCCATTTGGCAGCATTTCGCGCGTGTGAGGGAGAAAAACGATTACCAAATTGAAGCCTATAATGGATTAAACCCGTTGTGTGTATCGCAGGACCGAAAATATCCGATTCAAAAATCTCTAAAAAGAATCCCTAATTGGTAATTTTATTAAGTTTGTAAATTAAATTGTATTCAACAAGCAAATGCAAATTGCATTCTTCCATTGATTGATATTATGAAAATAAAATTATAATTATAGTACAAATTTAGTTAAATGACAGATTTCAATTTGATTACTTTGATTTAGTTTGTTATTTTATTTTTTAGTGTTTTAGTAAAATAATTTTTTTATCTTATGGCAAATAATTAAGATTATTCCTATTTATTTAATTAAATTTAAAATAGGTAATAGTTTATTAATTAAGTAATTATTGTTATTATGGAACTATCAAAAATGAAGTGGTTAAAATAATTATGTTTATTTTTTAATATTTATGGAGCAAAATTTCTTGTTAATTATGACTAGAAAAACTAGAATATAATCAAAGAGTTGGTTTAAATTTTCTAATATTTGTACAAATATTTTAAATGATTATGCTTAAATATTTCCTGCTAATTTCATGGCTTTCGCAAATCTTCAGCGAGGATTAAACAATGAAAATGTGTCAAATAAAATTTATTTATAAAACTTTCCCCTTTGCGATTGTATCAAAGGCAATTTGCGTTGCAAAAACGACCGGCGGCACCAAAACAATGGGCGCCAACAACTTTTTCCGCCGTTTTTTTTTCTTTCCATTCCTCCTTTTTATGCATCGAGGGAAATTCCGAGGTGCGCTGCGCGCGCGTTTGATTCAAATCGAAAATAGTCCCCCCCAGGGCTGACTCATCCGCGTGCTATTCTTCTGTGAATGAAAGTCGCGCCCGAGTAGTTGCAGCTGAAAATTTGCGTCGTTTTCGGACACACGCGAATTCTTTTGACGGCAGGCCAAAACTTCGGTGCGCGCACAAAGGAATCGAGAGACGTTTTATAAAAATAAAAATAAAAGAGTTGCGCGAAAATGTAGTCCAGCCTAAAGGCGATAATAAAACGCTAGCCGCGCCGCACTTTAATCTACAAAGTGTTAATTGAAAATGTGTAGTACATACACACTTTCCAGCGGCGGCGGCACCGAAGTCTTGCCTCCTCCAGCAGAGGAGAGATGAAGTGTCAGTCAACAGCACAGTAGTTTTACAACCGGTTTTATACCCAAAAAAAGGCCGCGGTGCTTCCAGGCTTATAGCTCTTTTTTCTCAAAACTGCACATAGAACTCTGTATTTTATTGCGCTTGCGTTAATTATTTTCCCTCTAATTAGTCAAAAGTGCATCCGTTGATAATATTTACGAGCAGAGACCGTAAAGCTTTTCACGTGTAAAGAACACTAATTGCGGTTATTGTTCAAAAATAGCGACCCCAAATGGGCGTGCGTGAAGGCAGAGGCTCCTCATTCATCCCCGTTTAACATTAGCAAAATGATCTTGCGCCGCGCAAAATTGGCTCGTCGCCACCCCTTAATAAATTTCTGCCTTTTTTTAATACTCTCCATACGGCCGCGAGCTATTTTCATTGTAGAGAGAGAGAAGAAGTTAGCCATCTCTGTATATATATTTTTTGCGATACTCGCGTCGTCTATCTCTCGCGACGAGAAGTTCTTTCATTAAAACAGACGCGCCATTAGTTAGTGTTTTAAGGCTAATTATGAAATTCCGCCTTGATTATGAATAATAATTTTCGGCGCTGTCTTTGTCAATCACGGGAGGCGGCGTCGAGGAAAGAGAGCCCAGTCGCGGCTTCTGTCACAATTTGTTCCGCGTGACTTCAGCGGGAATATGTAAAAGAGCAGCAGAGCCAGCTGAATTTTGGCGGCTCGTTCCGCAAAACGAATGGGACGGGCAATTTTTTGTGGTTTCCCGACAGCTGGCGTTAAAAGAATATAAATAATTTTGTGTAATTTAATTTTAACAGCAAAATTCCTTTAAAATTTATTTATATTTTATTATTTTTGTTTACAAAATTACTGTATTCAATTTAAAATTGTAATTTTATATTTAAATGTAATTAAATTATATTATACATTTCTGATACAAATTCTTAGGCTCATTTTTTTAACAGTACATATTTGTGTTCTTCAATTTATTTATTATAAATTAAGCTAAATCAAATAACTGTTAAATTCTCAAATCAAATGATAAATTATTTCTTTGTGCCATAATTCTAATAATAATCATTAAATCAAAATTTAAATAATTTATATGAACGTGCAATTGTGATGAAAAGGTACAGTATTTAGATCGATTTTATCGCTGGAATCTCAAAGTTGGTGCGTATAATGTTTTCGATCCAAAATTTCGGTTCACGTGAGCCGTCTTTCAGCATCATTTCCCATTCTTATCATCTCGGGCGGCTCTCTCCGTTTCTTTGTCCTCCTTTTAACGCCCGCAAAGATCCACCCTCAATTCCGCCCGTAGCTTTTTCCTCTCTAGTGATTGATGGTTCAGAAGGCAGATTTTTCCGCGTCTGTTGTCGAAAAAATGATACGCGCGTATATAAAAGAGGTATCAGCGCGCAAGAAAGAATTTTTCTATATATAAAAGAGTAAACACTGCACGCAATACAACTGCCGAAGTAAAAAATAGAAAAAAACGCCCGTGAAATGCCATCATCGCGGTGGTGCTGATGATAAAGCAGAAGAAAAGAAGGATTTGCCCTTGAAAAGATGAAGAATAAAAAAAATATATAAAACTGGTTCCCCTTTTCTATATTTTTAGCCGAAAAAATCCTTTCTTCGGTAAAAGGAAGAAAATCTATATGTGTGTGAGCAGGTAAAAAACGCAGGGGCCTCTCTATTGATGACGGCCGAGGGGAGGCAGAGACGAACATAGATCATCTCTCGCACCCTATTACATGCTGCACCTTTATTTATAGTGTGTTTTAGCGCGAGGGTGCTGCCTGTTGTGGGTGGGTCGGGGAAATTTCTCGACGAGTGCTCTGCTGCTGGGAATTTTTTTTGTATTATATTTTTATTTGATCGCATAATAAGGAAATCTTTCCTCCTTTTTTACTTGAAAATCCTCCAAAAGACCGAGACGAAGAACGCTAAGAGATTTATATCTCCGGACAATTTTATAATTCTCCTTTTTCAGGCATGGAAAGAGGCGCATAAAACTTTTAATGATTACTCGCGCTGATTGATGATGGGAACTGCCTGAAATATGATGTTTCCTCTTTGAGTCGTTACCAAAGGATTGGGATTTTTTTTTTATTTATCTCAATAGGAAAATCCGTTTTCGTCTCGCTCTGGCTCGGCCGTTGTTTGGAAAGTTTTTAGCGGAGAAAAAGGGTTCGTTAAACGACGAAAATAATAATTTCTCAAGTTTTTTGCGATTCCCGGAAGGGGTGAAACGCGAGATGTCCGCGCGTGATAAAAGGGGTTTTGATATGAAAAAAAAAATCGTCAAATATAAGGAAGGGGTTGAGAGTGTGGGAAAATCATAGGTGCTCCGAAAGGATGCTGGAGGATTTTTCAATAAGCGAACGGGCACAAAAAATTTAAGCGGCGTGTTGGAGCGAATGCGCTGTTTTTCATCATTAAAAAGTGTAAAAAAACGTGAAACGGTCTGTGCGGAGAGGGTTGCAGCAGTGGGAGATCTCCCCGCGTAATATAAAAGGGGTAATGGTTACTGTGCTCATTGTTAATATTTTTGTTACTCCTTTTATATACGCGAGTGTGTAAATAAAAAGCGTTTCCTCCGTAATCTCGGCGGTCCCCACGTGCAAAAATCTCTTTTTATTTCCCTTTGTCTGCCACAAAAGATTTCTCTCTCTCTTTTGAAAGAAAAGCAAGGGTTATTTTATATATACGCTCTCGCAGCGACCAGATGTTTTATATGAGGAAATATCTTGAGAAAATATTGCTAAGAAATGAGCTGGCGGGTCCAAATGGAATTTTTTCCTCGTGAAAGGAATGAAAAAAAAAGCGGCAAAAGGGGTTCATTATATTTGGAATTATAGAAAGAGGAAAAGAGAGGAAGCCAGTTAAATTGAAAAAAAGGGCGAATGACGCGACACGCCGTAAAAGGGTTTAAAATTTCACCCTTTTCCTCTCTTTTTCTGTTTGCCGTTCTTGTTTGCAAAGGCGAACGAAACGCAATCCGACAATAAATCTCGGTGGGCCGTTGATGCTCTCCGTGAATTGACAGAGGAAAAGCTAAATACCGTTATTTTGCTCGTGAGAATGTTAAATAAAAGGGCGAGTAAGATGCGAAATTTGGACGGTTTAATGGAATTACTTTTAAACACTAAAATTTTCATTTTCAATCTTTCTTTCTCTATAAAATTGTGAATAGAGGTTGAGATCATTTTTAAAGATAACTTTGTTAAATATAATTTCAGGTTTTGTAGAATAATAATTTTATAAATAATTAAATGATAAGCAAAACTTGAGACATAAATTTAAATTTATATTATTTTTTAAATATAATATTTTTTTGGTAAATTTTTCGTATAATTTATGCAATAATTTAATTAAGACAGGTCACAATAATTAAAAGTTTACAAAAATTTATTTATAAATATCAATTTGTTACAAATACACATCACATAGTCACATAGTACATTTCAGCTAATAATTAAGTTATCAGGCTCAGCGGATTGTCGCGATAGATGTAAATTCTTATAATTGTTAATTCTTTTTGTCAACTTAATAACATAAAATTTTAAGCGATTCATGTGAATTGTGAATTTTAATGGATAATAATGTACATAAATGTAGCTAGTTGATTGAGATTTAACTCCTTTTCCCTGAGTGTGGAAAATATCCCCTGGCTACCGCAGCTGATTGCGTGTCAGCAAGTTTTACTATTAGAGATCTCTCTTCTCACATTATCAACGCACACGCATATAGGCACGCGCCTCTCGCAACCGTGTGCGAGTCCGACGATTATTATATTATTATTATGGCCGGTCGCACTCTCATAGAACGAACGAAGGTTCCTCATAACCGGCTTTGATTTATAATTGCCCGCGCGCCGGCTGCGGACGCCACTCTGCATGCATCCAAAAAGAAGAAGAAGAACCACCACGGCGGTTCTGTTTTTGTTCTTTTAAAGTTCAAGAAAGAGGCAAATTGAAAAACTGGTTGCCCTCCTCGATTATAACCGGCGGCTCTTTTCACTTCCAATTCTGTAATTAACTAAAAAAAAAGGTTTTGGTCTGACGATGAGAGAAAAGTGCAGATTTTTTTTATACAAAAGTAAAGACGCAGCTCAGCTGGATAAGTTGTAATTAATGTGTTGATAAGCGTTGGAATTATTTTGTGACGCTTCACAACTCGAGAACAGTTTTGCGCGGCGTTAATCGAGGAAATGATGATGCTTTTGGAAATTTTTCGTCGCTATCTCCGAGATACATAGAAATTGGCTCGTTTTTTTTTTCTTGTTTCGGGGCGCGTAATTGCCGTGCTGGGGAAACGCCGGCGATTGCGCGAAATTAAATAATTTAGTAGTAAATTTATAAAAGTTATCTTTTCTCACCAACCACTTTTCTCACCCGTTCCGGCGAAATCTTACAGTAAATTCGTGCATTCAATTTTTTTATATTATACGCCTGGTCACAAAGCGGCTTTGCTCACTTTAATTGCAAAGCTTGATGAATTAAAATTCAACTTTTAACGTCCGCTCATGAATGAACCAACCTCTCAAAAAAGGCAAGAAGCAGTCCAAAAAGTTTTCCATACTTGTATAAATTTGTATTTCTACACTTCAAATTCGTGAGTTTCCCAGCCAAAAGCGGACAATCTGCGTTTTTTATTAATCCTATGCAAATGTGGATCGGCGAGGCTATTTTATTTTTGGCTCAAATCGCGCATCCACCGGTCTTTTGGCAGGTCCGAACTTGTTTCTTCCGACTTGTAAATTAAGAGGACTAACAGCTTTTGTGGGCTCCTTTTACGGCGAGCGCCGACGGCCATTGAAAAATATGAAATTCACATGTCAAAAGGCTGAAATCTAATGCCCCTGTTTGGCAAATCCGCGCCTAATTGAACTCGACTCTTTTTATCTCCAATTTTACCGCCAACCGAAAAACAAAGACCTATAATTTGCGCGAAATGACGTGTCTCTCTCACTCCACATTTTTACTCTAACGCTTCTTGAATTTTTTGTTCGCAGGCCTTTCGAGACCAATGCCTGGCGTGAGTCCTTCCACGGCCGCAGCTGTGGCCGCCGCGGCCGCCGCCGTTCCACTCAGGGAGCCCAAGGCGTCCATACCCATTGATTACTCGCGGTACGTCCGCAAATTCAGCAGTGCCGCCGAGTGCGGCAGCAACCACTGCCGCGACCTAAACTACAGGTATGAGTTATAAAAAAAAATCCCCAAAGTGTTTTTGCACATCATAAATTTCGTCCAACTTTCTCCTACTAATGTGTGAATTTTTTCGCAGAGAGCATTTCCACTGTCTGGACTGCAACTCTCGCGTGTTCGTCAAGAAGGAAGAAATGATTCGCCACTTCAAATGGCACAAAAAGCGCGACGAGTCCCTCCAGCACGGCTTCATGCGCTATTCCACCATGGACGATTGCTCAGACCGATTCCCTGGGTGCCAACACAATCGCAAGCAGACCCACTATCACTGCATCAAGAAAAGAGCTGATGGGGTAAATTTTATATTAATTTGAAATCTTTCTTCTTTCGGTAAATTATTATAATTAGTGTAATTGAGTGCAAATCTCAGTTGCAAATTTTTTTAAAATAATCTTTAATTTGTTACGTGTACAATATTTTATATTTTATTTAAGTTAAACATTATATTTGAACAAAAATTCTAAATTTAATGTAATTTATTTTGTTCTATTATATGGCAATATTTCTTCCGCATGAAATTAACAAATATTTAATATTTTAAATTAAGAATATAAAAATGCAAAATTGCTTTATAAAAATTTCTTACTCTTTTAATTTTTACTAGTTAAATTAAATTTTAAACTTAAGTAAAAATTAACTTCCCAAGGTTAATTTGAATGTAAAAAATTAAAAAAAAAAATCCAAAATGTGCTTAATACTTGATTGCCACAGGTTTCTCTTTCTTATTTTAAGGGGAATCATTCACAAGATGCTAAATTTCCTCATTTCTGCTCTCAGGAGGGCTGTGAGAAGGTGTACATCAGCACGTCGGACGTGCAGATGCACGCCAACTACCACCGCAAAGACTCGGCCATCATCCAGGAGGGATTCCAGCGGTACCGCGCCACCGAGGAGTGTGGCGCCGCGTACTGCGCCTTCTTCGGACAGCGCACCACCCACTTCCACTGCATCCGCTCTGGCTGCAAAGTGACTTTCAAGAATAAAGCTGACATGGGTAAGAAGTGTCCCCGTTTTGAGAGTTGATAGCGTTGCTAACGAATGAATGAACTTCTCCACTTGCAGACAAGCACAAGACATATCACATTAAAGACGAGCAATTGAACAGAGACGGCTTCAAGAAGTTCATGAAACAAGAAGCGTGCCCCTTTGAACACTGTCGCTTCTCCCGTGTCTGCAACCATATCCACTGCATCCGCTCTGGCTGCAACTATGTGTTGCATTCGAGTGGCCAGCTCTACTCGCACAAGCGGAAACACGAGCGCCAAGACAATGAGATTGCCTACCGTAAATTTAAATTAGCTCAGAGTATGATGAAAGGTTTTTCTGATGGTACCACTCCCTCAGGCTTTAACCCCCAAAATCTGAGCCCAGGGATGCTCCAAGCATTCCAAGAGCAGGTGAGTAATTTTTCATTCGGCAACTTCGAGCATTCAAATCTCCAAATAAAAGTTCTATAATTTAATTTTGTTTTAATACTTTAAATATTAAATACTCTCTAAATTAAATTTTAAGCAATTTTCTTCCAAATTTTCAGCTTGCTCAAGAAGCTCATGCTACAAGCACTCCTGGACCGTCGAGATACGACGAGTCCTCCCTATCAAGACTTGACGACTCTTTGGGTCTGAAAATCGATGAGTCCGGCAGCCGATTCGATGAATCCTCTACAGCTGATGACAGCCAAGAGTACAGCCTAAACATGATGGACGGAGACGATAAAAGTCGCAGCACTTCGCCACCCCTTTCCCAAATTAACAAATTCACAGCTGCCATGTTAGCTGGTAGTTTTTTTGTTAAATTTTATTTTGGCAAATTTTAACTCGTATGTTTTTAGGCATGCCAATGCCTGGCTTTGGAGTGCAGGCTGGACCTTCCACTGCAGAGCCGCCAGACACCCTGGCAGCCATGGACTTGACCGGCGAGATTAAGCCGCGCACTGACGACCTGTGGAAAAAGTATTTGACCCTGTTCAAGGCTAATGAGAAATGTGTCAAGTCTGGAGAGTGCGCCCACCTCTTCAAAGAACACTTCCACTGCAACGCCGAGGGCTGTGATATGACCTTTGGGTACGATTTTATTTTACAAAAGAAAATAGTTTTCTTCTTTAACTAAATTTATAAAATTTAATTAAATTTTATTTTAATTTCAAAAATTAGCCATACAAAAGTAATGAAAATTTTAAATAATAAATATTTTCAAGGATTCCATGAGGGGATTTTTTTCCTAAATTTTTTTTAAATTAATCATTTCTTAAATCATAATTGAAATATATTAATAAATGCAAATTTGTAGATCTCAAGAGGGAGTGTGGGACCATGCTCGGTGCCATGAGCAGCAAGAGCAAGTGACCGAAGCCTTCTACATCACGACTGAAGTTGGCCAGCAGGCCTGCGAGTGTCCTCCAGAGTGTCCCTTCCAAAATAAGGAGACCCATTATCACTGCGGATATGTAAGACTTATTTCTCTACAGTTTCTCAAGTAAAATTTTAACCAAAACTTTATATTATTTTAGGAAAACTGTCGAGAAATCATCATGACAACTGACAAGCCCTTCAGACGCCTTGACCACTACAAAATGCACGAGTACTCGAGGAAACTGAGTCTCGGAAAGGACGCCATGCAGATGTCTTTAGCCACCTCCATCGACGGCATGTTCAGGCGCAAGAGAGGCAGACCACCAAAGAATCGAGTCATTGAGGTGAATATAATTTTTTGATCCATCAAATTTGTAAATAATTTTAAAGCTTCTTTATTTTAGAATAGAATTTTTCTCTTTAGTTACAAAATAGAGGTTCTAAATTTCACCTATACTTATTGCGGAAGGCTAATCTTTCAAAATAGTTTTGATAATTTTCTCTTAGTTATTTACCTGATAGTAATAGTGCCCTTGTTTCTGTTCATACAGGTGTGGAATGATTGTGTAAGTTTCAGTTTTTCACTATCTCTCCCTAAATTTGGTGCATGTGGTTCAGCTGACAAACAATCTAATTGCTTTTTGCATGAGAAAAATTAATTCCTAAGAAATAGTTAAAATATTTAAATATTAAAAATTTGGTTTCGAAAATTTGCAGTTCCAATCGCAAGCAAGTGGTTCTGGCAGCATTCTCGACTCACCCCAGGCGATTTTCACAAGCTTTAAATTGCCAAAGCCCAGTTTAACCCTGGCTCCTGAATCCCCTCAGGACATGCAGGCAGCTTCTCCCGACAATGGAGACGAAGACATGAACTCCTCCGACGAAAAGGGTTCTCAACTTCCGGTAAAATTGAAAAAATATAAAAAATATGGAAAATAATTATCTTAAATAATAATTGCAGAGTGACGTTCAGGAAGGATTTTACATTTTTGAGGAAGGCACCGAGTGCCCTGACCAAATGTGCATCTACTCTGGCAAATTCCACTACCACTGCACCCAACCAAGATGCTTTTATGTCACCGAGAGGGAAGATATCCTCATCATGCACTCGAAAGATTTCCATGACAACATTGATATTCTGGAGGGATTCGTTTTCTTTGATCGCAGCATTGATTGCAGACAACCTTCCTGCCACAGGTAAAATTTTCCCCATAAATATATTATTATTGTTATTATTAATTTCATTTTATTTCCAACTGAGTAATTGAAGGCACTTTTATGATTAGTAATTTATCTTTAAATTAAATTTATGAATTTCGAAAATGTTATTTTAGCCAATGATGTAATTATATTTTTATGTAATGAAGAATTAATTAATAAAAATAATTTGCAGCAACAAAGTGAACCGCCACTTCCACTGCACGCGCCCCAACTGTGGCTACACCTTTGTCCGATACTCAACCATGGCTCTGCACGAGCAAAAGCACCGCGAGGAGTCTGGACTGCAGTCAGTCAACAGCTCCGTGTCCTCGCAGCAGCCGAGCTCCCCCGCCCAGCCTGGGGGCAGTTCGGAGGCCTCTCCGCCACCCCAGTCGAGCTCGCCCCTGAGCGCCAGCAGTGCCTCGTCCAGCATCCGTAAGATCAAAATGGAGAGCAGCCCAGCTATGAACGCCCAGTCCGACATTGCAGCCCTTAAAACAGGTAAGGAGGAACTTTTTGATTAGAAGTTTGGGCGATTTTTCCACCTTTTTATTATTGCCTGAGTTATTTATTCGGGGAGTTGACAGTTTTGTAGCACCAATTTAGGCAACCGGCCGCACTGCAAATTGGTGCAGGTTGCCTAGTTTCATCCCAAAGTTGAAAGAATTTTTTAATTTTTGAAGTGATTTCTTTCTTAGTTTTTCACAATTTGCCCTGTAGTTAGTTTTGTATAAAAACTCGCACATTATGTACAAAAAAAGCACAATTTTTCATTTCGGCAAAAGTTCTTTTATAGACTTAGAATTATTAATTGGATTAATTAATATCTCTCTAAATACTGTCACCTTATTCCTGTTTTTAATAATAATCAATGTAATTATATCACACACAAAATGCACCTTTTGAATTGGAAACCAATTTGGCAGTGGTTAAGGCAGCGGGAACGTACTACCCTTTATCTGCATTCTCGAGTGAGAGGCGCGCTAGTTCGTCCGATGAGCAGTCCCATTCTGTCCCCCAATCGACCACCACCTCTTCTTCTTCGGCAGGAGTCGGTGCCCAAAGACCGTTATGCAGGGTGCGCACAGACCTGCAGTCCCGCCCTGCAGCAGGTGGGCTTTCAAACTATGTGGAAGTTCATTGATTAACCCTTTGTTTATTTCAACCACCAACGATATTAATTTTCTCATTAAAAAAAAAATCAACAACGCCACTCACTCGCCTGATTGAGACTCTCTCTCTCTTAAGTTCATGTCCAGCATTATTTCTCCTTGTAACCAAAACTCATCACCGCTTGCTTTGGTTTGATTGATTCTGTTGCACTACTTTATCTTTTGCTTTTTTTTTGGTTTTGGTGTGTTTTTGGTTCATGCACGAGTCCTATATATTATATCAATGAATGCTTTTTTATTTTAATAAATTTATGTAAAAAAATAAATAAAACGAAATATCTTTATTTTGAAACAGAGCCGGAAACGAGCAGTGGCTCGGACACCTTGAGCCGGATGCACCAACAGTTGGCGGCTCACCTGAGCAACTCCATAATCGAATCAAAACCAGAGTGGATGGCTCTGGACAGACACTGCAAGTACGGACCTGAACTGTCCTGCAGCAGACCATTCTGCAAATTGAAGAGGAAGGAGCATTATCACTGCAACGCTTGCAACCAGGTCAGTTTTAAATTGATTACAAAAATTTTAATCCTGATAAGGGGGTTCAAAAAAGTTTAATAATTAAACTTTAAAGAGGAATTTAATCCCAATTTATTTATCTTTTTTGGAAAATTTTTAAATTTAACAGTTTTCTGTAAAAAAAAAAAAATTAAATTTTGATAGAAATTAATTGAGGAGTAAAGGTTATTTTTTACTTAAATTTGTCCACAAAATAAATATGGATTCGAAACAAAAAATATTTGAAGATCAGGATAATTTATAGTTTTTTTTAGCATCATAATCAAATCTCTCTAAATGAAAGCTAAATATAATTTTTCTTCAAATATTTTTAATTTTTTTTTTTTTTATCAATAAATGTTCATGCAGCAATTACATTTCCCGTTCGTACTTCTTAAATATGAAGAGAAGAAGAAACCAATAATGGTTTTGAAATTAAACTGAAGGTGATGTTAGAGAGTTAAGGTTATATTCATTGAAAAAATTTGTAATTTGGAGTTAAAAAATGAATTAATTTTATTGCTTTACTAATCCGCAATATAATATATTCGTTTGAAAATACGAATTATTAAAGAAAAAGGATATTTGTTCACTTTTTTTATAGAAAACTGTCCAATCCTTTATGTTAATGGTCATTCCTCCTTCAAACTCGTCAAGTATTAAATAAAAACCAAGAGCTGGGTTAAAAACACTTTATTCATCTGCAGGCGTTCTCCGACCTGGACCGACTGCGCCCCCACATTCTGAAGCACAGCAGCGGCGCCATCAGCCCCGGCTCGCAAAATCTCAAGCGCGAGTCGGACGACACCGAGCGCAGCAGCCCGTCGCCGCAAAACGGCTCCTCGGCGGACAACCCGGGCCACCCGTGGGACCACTCGGCCGTGGCCAACGCCATGTTCGAAGGGCACGACCTGCCGCCAGGGTTCGCGTCGCACGCGGCCGCGGCGGCCGCCGCCGGCTACCTGCCGAGCCCGTTCGCCCTGATGACGTCGCAGAGCCTGCCGTTCATGCACCAGCCGGCGCTGTACTCGTCGCCGGCCGGACTCATGTTCGCGCCGGCCCTGCACCCGTCGCACCACCAGGCGCTGGCCGCCCTGCACCAGCAGCAGCAGAGCGCCCTGAACGGCATGCAGGAGCACGAGATGAACTCGCTGCTGGGCAAGCGGTGCTCGCCGAGCGCCCTCAGCTCGCCCCTCGACATCAGCACCGAGGCCAAGAAGGCGCGCATCCAGAGCAGCATGCGCATCCTCAAGGACGAGCCGGTGCCCGAGGGCTACCTGCGCTTCCGCTTCAACGAGGACTGCAAGTACCCGCACTGCGGCTACCGCGAGCACCAGACCCACTTCCACTGCATGCGCATCGACTGCGGCTACAGTTTCTGCGACAAGACGCGCTTCGTCCAGCACACGGCGCGCCACGAACGCCTCGACACCCTCATGGGCGGCGACTTCCAGCAGTTCAGGGCCAACGTCCACTGTGGAAGGGGCGACTGCGTCTACGCCACCGTCATGCCCTCCACCAACGTCAGAGGTAAGTTTTTTTTTACATGAAATGATATTTATTATTCCATGTTTTTTTCATCAATTTTTTTGCTTGCGATAGTAAGTTAATTTTTTGTAAAGATAATTTTATTGAAAAATTGTTAACCATATGATTTGATTTTGGCATATTCATATATTCAAATGAATAAAAGAGGAGTAGTTTTTGTCAAAATACTAGGTGGTTCATAGTACAAATTTAGATTATATTTTATGCAAAACATAATTAGAGTACGAAAAGAGGCAGAAAAAAATTCCCTTTAAATTTTGAAAGGCACTTGTTTTTGCGTAATTAACGAATGTTTACAAATTTCAATCTTTAGCCAGATGAATTATTTTCAAAATTTATTATAATATGTATATTTTAAAATTATTGAAAGAAGCAGAGCGAAGCAATAAGCAAACAATGGATTTTCAGTTTTGAAGGGTGCTAACTCAAAAAGCAAACACGAGCTTTATAATTTTTTTGACTAAATAATATAATAAAACTTATCATTAATTAATTTTCTCTTTTTTCAAATTCCATGCCACTTATTTATATATTTGCAATCAGCGTGAAATATTTTTAAAATTATCTGCTTAAATTACATAAAAAGAAAAATTAATAAAATATAAATAAATTAAAATGAACAGTTTCATAAATTATATTTAATATTTTATTAAAATTATTGTACTATCGCATTGTAATAAATCTTTTGTTTAATTTTTGTTTCAGGAGCTCTGCAGAACAAAGCGTCGCACTTCCACTGCCTAAAGTGCGAGTTCGTGTGCACCGACACCAACAAGGTGGTGGCCCATCGGCGACAGCACCAGAAGCTCGACTCGATCATGGCGGCCGGCTTTGAGAAATTCACCCCGTCGCAGAATTGCAACGTGGACGCCTGCGCCCACAACCAGAAGCAGACGCACTACCACTGCTTGAGCTGCCACTACGCTGTGCTCGGTCTTTCACAAATGTCAGCACACAAATACCGCCATCTAGAATAATAATCAACCGACGACTAGCTGGCGAAATGTGTAAAAAAAAATATCAAGATTTAGAGAGAGAGAAAAGTATGTATAATTATTATTAGTAAAAAATTTAAAGAAACACGCGCGTTGGGAGAGGAAACGAAAATTGGTTTTGCTGCTGATCTCTAGCTAGGTATGAAGAAAATTCGCAAAGTCAGATCCAACTGAAAATAAATGATATCAGAGTGTACATATTTGAAGAAGTTGTTATAACTGGTAGCTGTACGTAGGCACTACTTTCAGATGATAAGAAATATTAAATATATACCAGCAGCGCTAAAAAGAATCATAAAGTAACTTATAATCATTGATGTGTACATTGAAGAGAGAGAAAGAGAGAGATGTTTCAAGAAACAATCACAAAATGCTAATCTTCTTTGGATTTTAGATTGTTTTTAATTTTTAGTGTGATATCTAAGTAAGGTTTTGAGTTGTTCGAAAAACTCGTTAAACAAAAACTGCTCTGGAGTTAAGAAAGAAAAGGAAGAAGTTTTCAATGGGGAACAACTTTTGTGTTTACGTGCGCGACACTTGTTTTTATTTTTAGTTTTTCTTTCGTTGTGTGTTTTGAGACGGAAAAACTTTTGAATATACCTGTATACCATTCTGCCAAAGGTAGATTATAATTTTTACTTTTTATTTTGTTGTTTAAAGAAAAGCGGAAATAATACTGAAACCCTTGGAATTTTTGTCAAAGGTGCCTTCTTCGTTTTGACGATTTTGAGTTTTGCTGAGAAAACTATATAAAATTTGAAAGGAACTTTTTAGGGAAGTCTGTAGCCTGTGCCTTAAACTGAATAGTGCGCATTGGCTTCAAATCTGAGAATTCCGTGGTGACAAAAAAAATTATAGCCATCAGCCTTTTTGGGAGTCCCACCCTTTACACATTTTGACAAGTAGAGAAGAATTACATTATCCTAGTACAAAAGACGCTTAACCCTTTCCTCCTACTTTCCCCTGTTTCGGTTCAACAAGAGTTGGTAGGGAAAGTTTTTAGTAGCATAAAAAAATCAATCAATCTATCAATGGATATCACATTCATGACGATGCATTGCATGTTGTCAAAATTCTATTTTGGAACTGTGAATAGGACGACTTAAAACCGTTTTGGTGCCTTGCAAAATTCTCCATTGAATTTCTCATTGCTTCTTGCGTTTCTTATGAATATACTTAGAGTAAAAACAGGAAAAAAGTAATGTCGTGTATAATTAACTTAAAATATAGTAGAGCAAAAAGAATGCTGAGATAACTTTTGACAAAGTGGAAAATTTTACCTTTAGATGATGAAAATATGAGCATATTTTTGTATGACAAAAATACCATTCCTGGCCTTTGTGTAAGACAAAAAGTGTAGCAGAAAACGCGTATTATAAAAAAATTTAATGCTTTCTAAATGTTCTACATAAACTCACTCGATTCCTATATAACCGGCAAAAGCAGAAATGAAACGTCTCTCTTGTTGCGTTAGTAAATTATTCAGTCACAGCTATTAGAGCGTAGAAACTGAGATTCCTGAAATTGGCTTAACACCAAAATTCAAAAGTACCCAAAGGCACAAAATTTGCATTGTTATTCACACTAAAAGAACTGCTTTGAGATAAATCGGGATGGCGCAACCGCCCGTTAAATTGTGTATAAAACGATGTTTTTGTTGATTTGTGATGATTTTTTTTCCTTTCGTTTTATGGTTATTACTCTCTTGTGTAAGAAAAGTGCAACTAAATCTCGATTATGTTTATGATTATTATTATTATTATTAAGTACCTAGTCATGCACTACTTTTTGAATACGACAAAGGTCATTTTCTGCCTTTTTATCATTATAGCGATTTTTTCTTCAACAATTAATATATAAATGATAATATCGTACACGCAATGGGTGCAGAATTTGTCAGTGCCTTTTACCAGTATGCAAAAGACACAGTCACACACCTTTGCAATCGATGTGGAGATTTACTGAAACTGACACGGATCGATCTGTAGCAAACGAGAGGAACATTTTGTGTATGTATGTAAGTTTGTGTACAGTACCGCGCAGAAAGCAACAAAAAAATAATATTGAAGCTAAAAACTGCATGTGTGTGTAATGGTAATGTGATTTGACATGTATACTCCTTGCATCAGTATAATATTAATTAATTATATCACGCGCGTAATTACTGAGAGAAATAATCAATCAATCAACCGGCAAACGCAAAAATCAGCAAAATAAGCATTATAAGAAAATCTGAGATTTTTGTGTATCATAATCGACAAAATATAAAGAAGCACTCTTGAATTGATTTCCGCCAGTCAAATATTTATGAAAAGTGTCTACTGTGTAATAAGTTTGATATATTAATTGTATAAAAACTGCTGCTTTCCTTAATTATATAGTTAACGAGATGGTTAATTTTTTCTCCTCAACAAATCCATCCGAGCACTTGTTATTTGCTGACGATGAGTTTTATCACTGTTTTCTGCTCTGACTATAGACACACCGAGACGTTTTCCACCCACACACGAGTATACACTGGTCGAAATTATGTCCATGATGTCCAACAATAGTCGTCATCAATTATCCTATTACACACCTAGCTTGGAAACAATTATTAATTAATTGTGTTTGAATACAAACAGCTTATGTTCATATAATGGAATATTTAAATATTAAAAGTAAATATTATGTAGATCATTCCAGCAATGATGAATGAGATTGTGTATAAATTTAAATGAATATAAAAAATGAATGCAAAATACTACCATGTTGAGTGGATTACAAGTATATGAATAAAGAAAAAAAGTACGATGTAGACTGCTGCAGCTATACCATGCTAATGAAAATGAAATGTTTGGTAGTCCTATAAATAAACTGAAAATATCAAAAATAAAAAATTGCAACAATTTTATTTTTTTATTTGTCAACAAGCCCTTTAATTTAATTTATTATTATATTATTTCTTCTGAGAGAAGTTTTAAAATCAATTTAAACGACCTATATTGCTCATGTGAATCATGCGACGGAGCAAAAAATTTATTTCCATTGATTCTCATTGGAATGCCGCCTAAATTCGATCAAAATTCGCGCACTTCTGCCAACTTTCTCTCATTCGTTTTCAGCGAGAATCTCATAAATTGAAAGTGGTTGGTTTTTTTAGCTGGCGTCTCTGTCTGGCAACATGAGGAAGTACCAGTTTTCATTTTTTTTTTGTACTGCGGTAAGTACTCGGCGCACTGGACATTACAAATTGAAATCAACCAAAACTCAAAATGAGAAGCAGTTGAGAGGCTCATTAAACAAAACCTGCAGACCCAGTAATTTTATTTTTAACGTGATTTTTAATTTAAATAGAAAACCTGTGAATTTTAAAACAAAAATGATTATATCCATATTTTTGTCACGAAAATATCAATAATTATAATAAAGAATAAGGAAGTAAAATTTTAATACAATTTTTGTATAAATATTTATAATTTTAAAAGACTTTCGCACACCAAATCTCACATTCAAAGTTTAAATCAACTTTCTTTGGGTTTGCTTTTTGCTTTTATGCTTCTCCAAAATCCAGCCCTTCAAGATTCGCATTTAATTTAAATAGACTTGGCTTACTTTTTTTTAATATTTGATGACAGCACAAGATATATTAATAGTCAGCAAATGCTAATGATTTTTGTTTTGCATTTAAAAATAATTATTTAATTAATAATATAACTTTTTTAAAGATTTCTGAGCATCAATTTTTATTGACTTTAAACTTTAAATTCTAAACAATTTCATTTCTAGATTTATCGATTCGCTTGGTAAAAAATAATACAATACGCCAAAATACGATAAACTGCATTAATTTTCTAGAGTGTTTTTGTTGGGAGAATTTTTATCAAATAATAAAAAGCTCTAATATCTTGTTTAAGTCAGCGAGCAGTGCGTTTGCTCATGAAATATGGTCGCAAAATGTAAAGCTGTTTTATAATGCAAAATTTAACCGAGGACGAAGCCCGTTTTTTTTCATTTCATATAAAGGCTTTCGTCAAGTGCGAACTTCTTCAATCAAATACGAAAACTATTGCAAGTATTTTATTTGAATATATTTCTTACATCTTTAAGATTTAATTAGATTTTTTCAAGTGAAAACAATAATAATGAAAATAATGTTGGGTGAGTGAAAAGCAATTATTACAATTCCATTTTGGACAGTTTTATTTATACGTCATTTTCTTTTGTATTTGCAAAACGATGGTTATAGTTTAACATGAACAAAATATGCACGTTGCAATTCAAGTATAATAAACACTTTCATATAGAATTATGTCTTGAAAAATGTTTCTTTTATCTGGGTGGTAACTTTACACAGTCGAACATTAAATTTACAGTAAAAAAGATAATTTACAATATAATATAGTTGAGAATAATTAAAATATTTATATATAATTAGGTACACATTTAAACAATAATCGCTGTTGATCCCTCAGCAGAGTCGCTTGCAAGTAATAATTATTTGGCTGACAAAGCAATATTGAGACCTTTTTCAGTACTTTAAAGCAGTAACGCTTAAATTTCACAATAAATATATGATATGTGCAGCAGTGTGTGGCAGTCTGATATTTATGGTACATAATGAGGGGCAGTCTATGCTTCTTTGAGTGGGGACGCGAGTCTGAAAACTTTCCAGCAGTTCGATATTTTATCACATTGGTTACAAAAATACATGGGTTGAAATTCGCGCCCATTAGTGAGCGATGAATTTGAATTTGAAAGTGTCCTTGGGCAGGGCAAGGTCGCCGACGGGCACTTTGTAGTCCTGCTCGGGCTCCAGGCGGTATTTCTGCAGAAGGGTGCCCAGAATGGAGAAGGAGAGGAATTGGACCATTTTGTAGCCCATGCAGGAACGCCTGCCGACGCCGAAGGGCAGAAAGTGCTCGGGTTTGATGAGACGCCCTGTGGAGAGGAACCGCTCGGGCTTGAATTTCGACGGCTCGTCCCAGAGCTTGTCACTGGTGTTCAGTTCGTGGTTGTTGAGGAAGATCAGGGTGTCTTTCTCGATTTTGTATCCTGAGAAAAAGAGAAGAAATGACCATTAGATATTATATAATTTAATTAAATATTTTTAGTAAATAGATTATTATTTTTTTTTTTTTTTTTGCAAAATTTGGTTCTCACCTGCAATAGAACTGTCCTGGTTGGCAACATGTGGGACAATCGGAGAGGAAATCATCCTGATGGCCTCCAGGATGACTGCGTCAGTGTAGGGCATGACAGGTCGGTCCTGAAGAGTCAAAGGTCGAGCTCCGTTGCCAGTGACCAGGTCAGCCTCAGCCTTGACTCTTTCTTGCACCTCAGGTCTGGAAGCCACGAAGCCCAGGGCCTTGACCAGCAGGTTGGCCACAGCCGAGTGACCTCCGACGATGTCCTCCAGAGCGAACATGGCCGAGTCCAGGGTCAGCAGTTTCTCCTTCTGCTGGCTCTCAACGTGCTCAAGAAGGGCTTCGATGTAGTCCCCTGACTCTTCCTGAGACACCAGACCCTGACGCCTTCTGGTCAGTCGGTCGTTGATGATGTGGGTCTCCATGAACTGCCGGATTTCGTGGCTCCACTGCTTCATCTGGGCCATCTGCTTGCTGTGGAAGGGCAGCAGCCAGGGCAGGAAATCGGCGGCGCAACCCTGGTTGACCTCGTAGAAGATCGAGTCGAAGATGTCCAGGGTGTGGTTGAACGCCGCGTCGTGACGGTCGAACTTCTTGGAACAAAAGTAGGCGCTGAAGATGTTGGCGCACGCGTGGATCAGCTCAGGCTTGATGGCCGTGGAGGCGCCGGCGGTCGCGTCCAAACGGGCCGTCAGGTCGTGCATCTCCTCAGCCACGAAACTGTCCAGGTGCGAGAACCTGGCAGAAAAGGACTGCGGAAAGGTGTGGGCGCGCAGCATCTCTCGGCGCGTCTTTTGCAGTTCGGACCAGTCACAGAAAGCCAGAGCTATAAATTAAAAATAAAATAATTAGCATTCAAATTTCAAAATTATCCAAAATATTGACTTACAGTTCTCTTTGTCGCCGCAGAAGAGCTGGTGGAACCTGGCGAAGTTGGGCCTGCCGTCGAAGTGGGCGCCCTTTGCGATGAGCACCTCCTTGATGTTGTTGAGGCCGTTGACCACCAGGCACTTCTGGTTGCCCAGGTGCAGGTTGATGACGGGCCCGTACCTCTTGGCCAGGTCGGTGAAAGCGGCGTACGGCACCTCGTACCCTCCCAGAAGGTGCATGGAGCCGATGAGGGGCCACGAGCGCGGTCCCGGCGCCTCCGGCAGCTCATCTTGCCCGATGAGGAGGGCTTGTTTGGTTTGGAGGCGGCGGCGCCGGAAGACGTCGATGGCCAGGGCGACCACCAGGGCGGCCAGAGCGGCCAAAAGGGTGTAGGAAACGATGCTCAGCTGGATCATTGTGGGTGTGTGAGAGAGGGATCGAGTGAGTGATTGCTGCAGAAGCACCACATTCTTATATAGTGGTATGCAAATCTGCAGCAGAGCGGCGCGTCCCCACTCTCGGCGCGCAACGCAGGCGTAAAATAAAGGGGAGAATTGAATTGCTTTATTGTCATGTGCACTTGCCCACGTCTGCAGGTGCATGTGGAAAAAGAAATTGTAGGAAGAAAATTATTTCCATAATTGATATATAAATTTTTGTATTATAACAGAGCATTGGAATTGCAAATTGATGAGTTCAACGTACATGATTTGACGTTACTACGCTATTTTTGGACTACAACTTATTTGCTTATATTATTCGATAATATGTCCGCTACGCTTTTTATGATTTAATTTTGTATAATTCGTATAATTTTTGTTAGATACAATATTGTGACGTCCATTCAAATGTTGAGGAAGGTTCATGATCTTGTATAGCTTTCCAAATAACTGAATATTTAATTTATTTAATATTTACTTTTATTAATAAAATTTGCAGATTTTTCCCATTTTTAAATGCCAGTTTATTTGAAAGGTTATTGTAATTTCCCCATTTGATCAGGCCCTCGTCAATTTGTATTTTCATAAAATTTTTAAAATAAATTCCACGAGAAACGCAGCCAAATTTTTGTACATGAATAAAATGATCTTATTTCTTTCATATTTGTCTCTCTTCGTACTTATGCCGAAAAAAGGATAATACTTAGACATATTTTGCATCTGTTTTTTGATTTGTGTACATTTATTTCATATACCGGCCTAAAGGGAAGACTCGAATGCAGTTATGTGAAAAATTTTTCATCTGCAAAAAAAAATTATTTTAATTATTTAAATTTCGAATTAAAGTCACAATTTGAGAATAATTTATGATTTTTATCGCAGTATCACTCGGACTAAAAATATCTTTATTTGTTTTTGAAATTGAAATCAACAGGCAACGAGAGTTTTGAATGAGACTTCGACGCACATAGAATGGGATTCGGGGCTGCCCCATTCAGGAATCAATTCCTCTTATATTTTTCCCTCTTGTTTCCTCGCTTGACATATCTAGTAGAAAAATTCATAATGAGAAGCAGCACCGCAAGCACAGGATGCTACCGGGTATCTTTTTTCAGAATCTCCATATATTTGAGATGGATCGAGAGAGAGAGAAGGAAGCCGCTCTCTCACACGCGTAAATCTCCATAAGTGCATAAATTGACAGAAGAAAAGTCGTGAGATTCACCGTGTCTAGGCTTCCTTCACCTTCCGCAAGGTTGAAATGAGAAAGGGAGTATACAAGCGAGAGCAACGATTTCTAATTCCGATGTATTAAAAAGTGAGAAAGGGAGTTAACGAGGGCGGCGATTTCTATTGTTCTGGTTAAAAAGTGAAAATGGGAGTAAGTTACCGGATTAATGGGAGCTCACGCGTTTATTTTAATATTTGGTAACACGAGCAATCTATTTCCAATGCCAATTGCACGCAACAAGTTAGTTTTTCAAATAAACCACCTTAATTTTAATTGCAACACGTGTCAATCTGCATTTCTAGGTGAAAATTAAAATATTAAGTAGAAAACCTCTTGATGTAGTCGGCAGAGGCAATTAATATTATACAACCCTTATGAGAATATAAAATAGTATCAAAATGATCTGGGCACAAATTTAATGTTTAAGATCATTTAACTGACTAAATTATGGGTTTGGTGGCAAATATGTGGACTAGAAAGGCAATCGCTGCCCATATTGTAATACGTTTAAAAAATTAACGACAATTAAAAATTTAAGAGAAAGAGTGCAAACATTTTTTTATATAAGGTCTTTTGAGAAAATTTCCAAAAAAAAAACTTATTTACTTCCTGAATTCAAATAAAACTAAATTTATTTTTACCAAACAAAATAAGTTAATTAAGTTCGATTCAAATTTCATTATCGTCAAGCTCAGTGAACAAAATTGCAATGATTATATCATCTGAACTGTCACGTAAGTGTGCATTGTAACTTTATTAAATAATGCATAATTCTAAACTTGGCGTGGACGTCAGGAAGAGTATTTTGATCCTTCGCAGCTATACATGCAAATCATAGAACAATAAGTTCAAGTACCGATAATCAGAGTGCGTCATGCAAATGCTGATTTCAATTCCCGGTTCGATGAACGTGTATGCACTGATATAAGACACACCACGCACGTAAATGAAATTAAAAAAAATTTATAACTTGAACTTGGGAGATTTTTTTCGTCATTATTTATTCTTTTTTACGTAAAAGAGGCGAGACCGAATTTTGCGTTTTTCACTGTCAATGTAGGGCGAATAGGGGGCGCGACAAAGACTGAATAATTTTTATTATGTACTGAGACTTTTGAAAAGTGAATTATTTTGTTCTGAATGTGTTGGAAGGATTGACCTTCCGCAGGATTCTCTACTTGCCGCGATAAAAACACACCGGTGCATAATCAGTCTTTCAAGTGCGGCCCAAGGGCGGCTGTACCATCGTCATCACGCATCGTCTTCCTGTTAGCATAAATAATGCATTTGAATGGCAGTGAGAGCCGCACACGCAACAATTTCACTCGAATGAAAGAATTAACCGGCCTTCGGTGCGATTTATGGAAATCTGGTAAGTGGAGCAAAATTTTCAGCGAATCCACCTGCGCCATTGAAAGAATATCGCACAGGTGCTTTTTGTAACGGGACTCGTGCTAATCAGAATCGTAACCCGCGTCACACAATCAAAAGCGAATTTTAATGCTGAAAAGTCTAGAACTTTCATTTAGACGGCGCCAATCCGTTTTTATTTTAGATTTTGCATACAGAGGTCATCAAGAGTCACCTTTGCCGTTACCGAGAGTGAGTTCTAAATTCACGTGCAGACCCGGATTGAGGCGCCACATCAGTTTCAAATTACGACAGAGGTCGAAGCTTTCGATTCTTAAAACCTACAAGAATCTTATTATTATTATTAATTCTTCTCCGTCAATACAAAAATTTTTAATTTATAAAGAGCTTTATATGAAAATGCAGGATTCCTAGCAAGTCTAGCAAACCATACAATTTAAAATTTATTTAGAAAGAATTAGTAATAATGAAATTAATTTTCAGAACTTTATAATCCTCTGCAGTATTTTAAAAATGAAAATTACGGTCGGAATTTTATCAAATTTGAGGCTCAATTTCTCACATTTGTTTTGTGCATTTTTAAGTTGCTAATTTTTCCGATGGAAACTTTTGTCTCTGACAGAAAAATCATAATTGAAGACTGTCCGTACCTGGCGCACCACGTGACAAAATGAATTCATTTCTCTGCATTGTTAGACTTTTGAATAATGTTTTTAGCGAGGTACGAAAACAAAGAAAGCCTCACACGTCACACCAAATTAAGAAGTAAAATCGGGGAGATTTTGCTCTTTGGGATTTTTTGTTTCGAAAATTAAATCGGTCTATTATTTTTCGCTGGACAATAATTCATCCCCGTGGGCCTGCCCCTTCATTGATATTCCCTGTGCGTTTATATATTTCGCACGATTTCGCGTATGAATTTATAAGCCAAGGCTAACCGGGTGGATTTTCGTGAAGGCCCGAAAGCAATGCCAAGGGAGTTGCCGTGGCGCATTTGCATGATTTTGAACCACATTATTTACTGCAAGAGTCTCAAGGAGAATTGTTTACAGCACGTTTATTCAAAATTTAAAATTTATCAATTCCGACCGCCTTGAAGGACCCAAAATCAGTTGCCATGCCGTGGCTAAATTCAAATTTTGTGTTATATCGGCGAAACAGCATAAATCGCCAGTCCGGGTGAGATAAATTATAAAGGATTGACGAAAAGGACAGACTTCAACACGTGCACGGAGGGCGAAAGGAAATATGTATTATAAAATGTATAGAATATAAAAAGAAAGTCTTGGGCTATTTTCTTGTTAAAGGAAAAGTCCTCGGGAAGAATTGTGTCAGCTTTTGGGTGCGGTTGAAGTGGGGGAATTAATTAAATTTGCATTGCGAATTGTTACGACTGCGGCTCCAGTTTCAAAGAGAAACTTTCATTCATGATCACTGACAATGAGATGAGGGAGGAGGCGCTCTTATGTTTTAGTTGACACGCGCGGTATTGGCTTCGTTCAAGGGGCCGGAATAAAATTATCTTTCAATGAAAGAGAAAATGAGCGGGAGTAAACAAAAATATCACAATATTTCTGAATTAATTTAATTTGATCGGAGACCAAGAAAATCATTTACCTTTTTAAGCCCCATAGAAAGAATTTCACTTTTATAATTATTAGCGTTAAAATACTTAAAAGTTGCGAAAGTGAATTTAACTTTAAACTTAATTTTAAACCAATTATTAACAAGAAGATTGAATATTTCAAAGGATTTTTTATTATTTAACTCATAAAATTCATTTTTTTTAAATTCTATAATTAGAATATTTTAATGTAATTTATGTGAGCTAATAATTGTCGAAAAATATAAAACCTTCATTCATTTGTTTAATAAATTAAAAAAATTGTATTTTGGAATTAATGTTTCTTATTGTAAACAAATAACATACGAGTTTGCTTGAAGAGATTGAAAATAATCCGTTTTTTATTTTTTAATTTGCACTCAATTAAGAAAATCATCCAAACTGACACAATCGTGAATAAACTTAACACTGAAAAGTGTTTCCTTATTCACATTTTAAAATAATTTTATGTTCTAAATATCAGATTATTGCAACATCCCATATTTGCATTATTATGTATTGATTTAACAATGTAAACAACTAGTAATGGATTCATGGCGAGAAGACGAAAAATTTCACAAGTTTTTTCAAAAACAAACAAAATCAAAATAGAAATATCTGGAGTTTAAAATTTGGCAGTGACCCAGATCGCTTGTTGTTTGGTGTCTCTCGTGTGGCGGCATCTCGTCCACATGCATCACCTTTATTATTGTGGACTGAATTTGAGAGAGAGAGACTGGGTCAGATGAAATCAGCGTCTCGTATTTATTTGTTTTCTTTTAACATTTGGGGCCAACGACCCAAA